GTGAGACTATGCTGTCTAAAAAGCACTGCGACTGTTAAATGACTAAGGGATCAGCTAATAAGCCAAATCAGCCCATGAGCAGAATCTGTGGGGTTTCCCTGCTTTATAGTTGCTATGCAATCACTCTAGTCATAATACAAATAAAGCAAAATCTAACGGTGATGACAATACTAGATCCACTAGAGTGAAGAGCGTGGCCCGAAACAGAAGCGAACACAATCTAATTCAATGAGTTCATTGATCGCAAGCATGCGCTACAATGCAAGCCCGCGGTATTCGCAGATGCCGCGCTCGCGACGTCGCGTGGTCCTAAGGACCGTCTCCCATTCAGCAGCGCTAGCTTTTGTCACAGGAATGTCTAGTCTGTATTGCAGAAATGACAAGCGATACACGATTGAAAAAGATGCCGTCGGTCGATGCACGCTTACGATAAAAGAGGTAGAGCAAGATGATCAAGCTGAATGGACAGCTCGCATCACGAACGAAGTTTTTAGTAAAGTGCAAGTTTATGTAGAAGGTAAGTTGTTAGTATAAGCCGCAGTATAAGTCTCTACCATAAGCTGGATCATTGCAGAACCTCGACACACCTTCGTCGTGCCCATGAAGTCGCAGAAGGTGAACGAGAACGAGCCTGCCACACTCGAGACCGATGTGAACGATCGAGACGCAGATGTAGAATGGTGGCATGATGGGGTCAAGATTACCATAGACGGCAAGAAGTGCGTCCTTCAAATGCGGTGAAGATCCTGATCGTTCAAAAATTCATATTTTAGGTTCAAAGAAGAACGCATCAGTAGAAAACGACGCCTCATCATACAAATGGCTAAGATCGAAGATCACGGAGAATATAAGTGTACTACGAAAGACGATAAAACAATGGCGCAATTGATCGTCGAACGTGAGAGACTCAACACCTTCGAAATCCCCACAAACCTCTATTCAGAACCTTTGAGCAGTTTCAGCTATCGGGATAGATGGTCAAAATTGGCGGAAATCTCATTCCTTGGTGCTGCTGTACTCGCTCTTTGAAACTGATTTGACCAGGCAGGTGTAGGGTACTAGCATGGCAGCATCAAGGCATGGGATATCCACCTCTTTTGACCTAGTATCCCTGGCGTTGGAGCTACTCCAATGTTCTGAGTCTGAACCTGAGTCTGATCTAACCGAGTCTGATCTATTCGTTTAGCGTTGAACAAGTTCATAGTACAGCTGAAGGACTTGGAAGTTGTCGAGAAAGAAGATGTAGTAATGACTTGTCAAACAAAGGACACAAAGACACCAGGACTGTGGAACCGCAATGGTGTAAAAATCACTAGTATGCCTGGTGAGTTCACACACTCAAAACCCTCATGTGCGGTAGGCGTGGCCGCGTGCTCGAACTGAACGTGGTGGTGGCAAAAGTTCCGTGAGATATTTTCTTTTTGGGACAAGTGTCATGCCTTTGTTCAGCCAGGACAACATGACAGTTGTCTCAACATGAGATATCCCACGTGTAACCCATTCACGCCGTGTTCAAGTGCCACGCCTATTCCATGTTCGGAATAAGGAGCGTAAACAACTTCCAATCCCGATATTTCTCAGAATGTTGAACGTTGCATGGTTTAGGAGGAAAATTCGAAACTTCGTCCCGAAATGGTACCCACACCCTGAAGATCAGTAAGATCGAGATGAACGAGGGCGAGACGTACGAGATCGATGTTGGTGGTCTCATCGGCAATTGCTTTGTGACCGTGCTCGAAGCTGAAAAGCGTCCCCGTGATCAACTGGAAACCAAAGAAAATCGAAGCGAAAGCCGGCGAACCGTGTTCCGTGAAGGCAAGTCGCAATATGCCCTAGTGATTAGTTTGTCCTGAAGAAATTTCTTCAGATTCCATTCCAAGTCAAAGGAACGAAACGCGGTGATCCGAAGGCAACAATCCTCAGAAATGGAAAACCGATAGATGACGAAATGAAGAAACTGGTTGAAGTGGTGTTCAACGGCGACGTGGCCGAGATAATTTTCAAGGATCCCAAGGTATCGGCTTGCCATTGTACGACCCTGCCGTTTAAGTTTCGATCGCTTTCGTTTTCAGGTAGCA